AGACTTGCATTGGCTACTCAGAAAGTTAGTAGCTGGTGGTACATGAAACTGATTGCAGCTATACTATAGGAATGTTTTTTGCCAGCAAAGAGAAAAGGATAAGGACATGACGACCAAAGTACACTACTACGTAGCTTTGCTGTTTTAGTAGCTAACATAGTCTTTGACATGCAATTTGAATAGCTGCTTTGTGTTGTGCTATGCATACATCTAGTGTTGTAAATTATAATTCGTCTACATATAGATGAGTACAACAACAATCTTTGCTATAGGTTTGATGTATCATATAAACTAAAATGTTATGTTACAGCCATATACTGGTTGCCTCTTTAAAATTGATATATATTTTTGTTTTCAGACACTGCTAATGACACAGCCCAGTCACCATCTCAGTCTTTCTCTGGTGTCGACGATGGATGTGAAGCTTGTAAGGTTGACACTATTAAGCTATATTCTTTTGGTAATGACATTGATGATATGCAAACTGACTTATTTCAACCTCAAACTACTTCTAGCACTGAAAACTCTCTTCTTCCTGGACCACCATCATCGCACTGCATTACACCAATCAAAGATTCATCAGAGATTTGTCATGGTATTTGTCTGTAGTCACTGAGCCATGCTTTGACATTGGCAATTTATTGACACCAGCAAAATCACTTGATGAAAAATGCCAAGCTATTAGCAATCTATAAAATACTTAAAAGTATTTCTATCTTCATAAGCATGTGGCACCACTAAAAATGTATCCTACCACCTTTTCTCATGGGTGTAACCGCAAGTTTAGTATAGCTCGGCTTGAAAAATATCTATGGTTATTATACAGCCCAAAATTAGATGCCATTTTTTGTGGTCCTTCTGTTACCCTTCTCCCAGTGCATAGTTAACGAAATAAAATAGTTCTTGTCAACAAATCAATTTACAACTGGGTAAAAATTAGTGAAACTTAAAGCAACCATTCTAAGCTTGTTTGTCATCGTAATTCTGTGCAGGCTGCTGATGCTTTGAAGACTTCCACTGAACATCCATTATCCAGTAGAATTGATATTATAACCAACAGTGCCCTCCAATCACGTATAACCCAGAATAAACATATTATTCAACAAATCGTTCGTGCCATTTTGTTCTTTGGAAAACAAGGCTTAGCATTTCATAGCGACATCGAAGATGTAAATTTTTCTAAAAATCCTGTCAATTTGTTTGCCTTACTTAAACATTATGCTGAAAATGATGAAATTCTGAGAGCTCATTTGCATTATTCCAAGGCAAAAAATTATAAATATTTATCTTCCCAGTTACAAAATGGCATCATCAATGTCATAGCATTTGATGTAATAAGAGTACAAAATATTGATGAAGTAAAAAAGACTGGATTCTACTCTGTTCTTGTTGATGAAGTGTTTTCTCACAATGTGGAACATTTACCAATAAGTCTCCGCTTTGTAGATGACAACAATGAAATTAGTGAAGAACTTATTAGCTTTGCAGTGGTTCAGAACAACAGATATTGTAAGTGCAATTACAAAGATATTGACTGATGTTTTAGTATCTGTAAATGAATAGTGTGGTCAAAAATATGATGAAGCCTCCACCATAGCTGACAAAAGATCTGGTGTCTAAAAACAAATTCTAGATATGCAAAGTAATGCTTTGTACACTCATTGCGCGGGTCACTCACTTACTTTTGCAATTATAAATTCATGTTCAGTTCCACAAATATGAAATTATATCGATCAAGATTATATAATAACTATTTGAATTAAATTCTCACCTAAGCGTGGGGAACTATTAAATGCAATCTATCAAAAGGGCATCAAGCATGGAGTAGCTTCATCATGTCTTCCACTAATCAATGTGTGCATTACACGCTGAGTTGAGAATATTGAAGGTTGGGAAAGGTTCTGTTTATGCCATCTATTCTTATTTCACATGTGTGAGGTAATTGTATATGTAGATGATAATTTTGAAATGTTTAATGACAATTGGGCTACTTAAGATAAGAAAAATGCTATGGATTATGTCTAACAGACTTACAACGTTCCCTTTACTATTCTAAAGAAATTTCTGTAAATTTGCCAAGGTCCAAGCCAAGACATTGTTTGTTGTGTTTCTCTAACAGAACAACGCTCTAAAGAACTGACTTCAATAAGAGTGAACGTAGATGATTATTCATATCGTATCTTCAAGCACAGCAATAATATTGCAAACAAATCTAATATTAATGTCAGCATGCCACGAAGTAGTCAATGACAAGCCCAACGTGCAAATGCAAAATATAATTCCGTGGAGGATTACTTTAAGAAAACAGTGACCATTCCTTTCCTTAACCACATTATCAGTAATTTTTCTTCCAGATTTGATGCACATGTAAAGCAAGCAGCATCAATTCAGAAACTTATGCCATCAAATCTCACACATGAGTTTTCTATCTCTGATATCAGACAGGCTATAGATTTTTACAGAGAAAATTTGCCAATTCCTGATATTTTTCATGAAGAACTTCATCGATGGAAGACAAGATGGTTTTCTATACCTCTCCAGGACATGCCCCAGATACTGGCCGACTGCTTAAAAGCGTGCTTCACTGTACCAAATATCTTTAAGTTACCAAAACTCTTTACCAACTGCCATTAAGTTTATGTTCATGTGAACATTCGGCATCTTGTTGAATAATTACCTGACGTGTATACAAACCGAAGAAAGACTGAGTGCTCTAGCTTTAATACATAAGCATTGTGACACTACTATCAATGTTTAAACTGTATGTAGGTTATTTATGGAAAAGCACTCCAAAAGAATAGAGCATGCTAACATATTATTTCAGTAGTGCATATATGTACGTATATGATAGCCAATGATTGAAATACCTAATATACTATTTTTGTACAGAGTTGTTCAAATTAGCAATATAACTTAACAAATAAATCTACTCTGCATGTACATAGCACAACACTTTACTATAATAAAACATAAATATTTATGCTAATTCAAGTTTAGCTCCCCATGCGGTGATACAACAGAATGATGATTTGTTAACTTTTCACTGGATGCTTGTGTATTTTATGTGAACAGCTATTCAATTGTTTAAGCTATATTTCATGCAAAATTGCTCCCTGATTTAATCTCATAGCACTTATTTGTTATAAATATAAAAATAAGTTATAAACTTGGGTTTTTATCTTAATGGCGTAGGCTTTTAAAATCAAAAACAATAAAAACAAATTATAGATTTTAAACAAACTAATTACATAAACCTATGAACAAAAGATAATTATAAAAATGAACAAAAACGAAAAAATAACCATAACTTTTTAAATTATTAAAACAATTTTGAGTACAATTATTTAGCAATTAAATCAAATTTGAATCTATGAATGTTTTTGATGCTATTGATGATTCATTAAGTAGGAGCATTATATAGTTTCATGAATTCTGAAGTTGCTGAGTTTAATGTACAATTTCTACTCTAAAAATGAGATGATTTTACTAAGATGCCTCACTTTGTAACACGCAGTTGTTGTTTAGTTTTTGTTTTAAGCGCAAAGCTACAAAATTGGCTTTCTGTGCTCTGACCACTGCTGGGAATCACACCCACCTCAAAATTTAGCATTGTAAGTTCATAAACTTACTGTTGGCTCACCGGAGAACACTATGCGATTAGTAAATTTCTTGATGTTAAAATGAATAGCATCTTTGAAATTTCCAAAGAATGAACCTATTGGTAATACTATAATAAAACGTTAGGGTAAATCTGTGGTTTTTTCAAGTGAACTTATTTTCGTACATGTATCAAGAAAAAGGCTGGGTAAGGTAAAAATGAAAATAATCTTTATTAGAGCATTCAAACAAAAAGAAAACATAGTGGGTCAGCAGTGTTACGTCTCTGTATGTTTGTTTGTTAATTCTTCTAAGATACAAGTCCTGTCTTTATAAAACTTATTTATTCTTCCTCAATACAACTTTGTAATGTACTTAATTTTCACAGTTACACACACTATAGTTCACAACAATTCACTCACTTTCTATCGCGCTTAGACTTAATTGTCCGTCCCCGCCAACTATAGTTCCGATCTCTGTGTCTGCTATCCTCAGTTCCCGCCGACCGTAATCGCTGTCTTTCTTTCTCTCTGCCTGTTTCGTCTCTGCCTCCGTCTATCTCACTGTCTAGCGCACTTATGTACGATAATACTGCCTGTTCTAGAAACTTCTAAGACTCTCAACACGTGCTACCAGCGTCACTTGACTTCCGCTGTCGTAACACACTACCGAATCTTCTAGAATACTCGTCACGTGACCCCCGCTGTCGTAACACACTAGCGAATAGACTACGGATACTGCGGTAGACCGCACGCTATAGTAGCACCGCCCATTGTGTAGAAAACAACAACAACAATTGAACTCTGCAAAATAAAATATGGTAATTTCAAAAATGGTCTGTATTCGAATATTTCCTAGTAGAACTGGTCTAAGAAAGTGCAAATTCAACAGGTAAACTTAATTTTTTTTGTCCAGTGAACACTATGCAAAATAGTAGAATTAGGCAATAAGAGAGCTTATAATGTTTAATAACAACAAATAATAACAGTATAAATATCTGAACCACCAGAAATGCAAAACCATTATTCTGAAGTTATCCTTTAGATCTGAGTTTCTCTTTTTTTGTAGCTTCAAATGAAGAAACGTGCAATTGTTTTTATATAGGTGGCAGCACTTATATGATTTGAGCTGATGAAAATGGCAGCAATTGAAGCAATTCCTTCAGATCGTCATTCAACAACAAGCAACCCAAGTAGTAAGAAATTGTTTTATTTTAGGTCCAAAGGTAAAGGCAGTCTGTAAAATTATGTTATATATATGTATACATTTATATAAGTTGCCTGCCTGTTAGTTACTGTTTCAAGGTATCATTGGTTTTCATTAAATGTGACTTCTAGCCTGGTTCTGCTCTAACAAGTTTTGTGTTCCGCTAAGTAAATTAATGATATTATTAATAGTTATACTATTACTAACGTTAGTACCAGCATTAGTAATATAGTTAGCCGCGTCAATTAATTCTAATTTCTAAAATCAACGTTACGACTAAGTTTACTCAAACGAGTGACAAACTAAATTGAGTAAATATTAAAACGTGATAACATTAACAATACCCATGTATCATTATTAGTTGTAACTTGTACCACCTCAGGCTAGCCAGTAAACGTTGCTACTGGTACTGTCATCCTTCGTCATTACCTAATGACTTTAAATTTTAAGTTATCATTTTGTTCAACTCAGGTTTCAAGATTTTCTTGTTTATTGATTTCAAAATTCTCTTTTGTTGCTTGTTTCAGTTTTTGTTACTTTTTGCACTTCAAGTCTTCGTGAGTTTCATATTTGTGTTAACCATTTAAAGTTAATTATTAAAGTAATTATATCCATGAAGTTTTAAAAGCTGTGAAAAAATGTTTTTTTTACCTCAGTTTGAAAACCCTAATAGTAATAACCAGGTCTGTTGGTCACACATTCATATTTACCATTTTGCCAATGTCCTTGAGCTTCATCTGTATATTTGCATAAAATGATATTTCTTCAACAGTATTTGATTCATTTTTTGGAAAAAATAACTTAATTATATGAAGCATTTAATAAACATTTCAGCATCTTCAGAATTCCATCTTTTAATTGGAAACACTAAATTCAAATATCAATTTTGGGATAATCAATATAAATGGAATTTTGGTCAGCAGATTGATTTACCTAACACTAATAATTTAAATCACTGCTTCTAGGTAATTGATTATATTGCTCAGCTTTAATGTAGATACCAGTTTTCTGCTGTAGTAGAGCTCAAACCAAGCCTATGTTGCAGTTGTGATTGAATTACTTAAATTTTGACCTTTATAATCATAATATTTCGAGAACAAATCATGCCAAAAACTGGACTGAACAATATTATTCTTTCACCTCTTTGATCTTCAGGTATGTTGAGGTTTGTCTACACGTATTCTTTCCTACTAAACTACTTCATTTTTGAATTGTTATATTTTATAAATTTATTTACATTCTTGTTTCTACTTATATTGTTCTATTCATGTATACATTTATTATATCAAACTAGTTTCGCATTAATATATCATACTGTATAGTTGGGTTAAACTATGTCTTATTTATTTCTAAAAGCATTCTTATTTGATATGTTATTGTTTAACAACACATTATGAAGTACCATGGTAATAAATTTTTATTAATTCAGTTCCATATTGAACTTCTTAATGTATTATAAACATGTGACATAAATATGTAAATTGAAATATTTAAACTTATTTTCAGTATTATGAACTCTCACTGCCACATTTTTAGACAACTCTCCTATTGCCAGGTTTATTTTTCAGATATGCAGTACAAAAATAGACATGTGTTTTAACATTTCATTGCGTATCAAAATTGAAACTGATTAACTTGGCAAATTTGAAAAGAAAATCCATTCTTTATGGTGGTGTAAAATTCTGAACTGTCATGGCAGCATTCTAAAGATAGACATGTATATGTGCCTAAGGTAGTGAGAAAATTAAGAAATGAATGGGAGTTGAACAAAAAAGTACAAATTTTATATTGTTTATCTTGAGCACTTTTGGGCTATATTCTATAAATGTTTTTCAATAACACAAAACAATGTCATAAAAAAGTTTAGTATTTTAGAAGTAGAAAAAATTAAAACTTTACTAACTTATTTAATATAAAGAATGTTCTGTTTATATAATTTAAGCTTCAATTTATTTCAAGTTTGTAGAATATTGGTTGAGAGATTTGTTTGCAAAAGGTTTTGGGTTCAAATTCTAGTGACAACAAATGTTTGTGATTATCTACATTTTTCATAATTCATAAAATATATACCAGCGACAGTGATGGATAGCAACATGAATAAGTAACAGATGGGAGTAAACCTAGTTAGACTTTCATTACAAACTTCTTACTTTCTCTAAAAGACATACACCCTCAAAAGGAATCACCTCTTTTTTTTCCTACAACTACCCCCAGAAGTTACTTCTGGCACTTTTTAGTAACTAGGGTGAGGTGGATAGGGAATCTGGAATTACACTACAGTGTTTGATCCCTTAGTATGCTGTCAAGTGTATAGGTACTATACTATAAAGACTGGCAGTGCTTTGTTGCTATTAATCAAGTTAATAAAATTATAGTGCTTATTTAGAGATATGTTGATTACAAGTTAAAAGATGTAATTTTTTCACTATGCAGATCACTAATTAGGCCTCATCTGAAATACTTTATACAGTTTTGGTCTCTTTGTCTAAGAAAAGATATAGGCTTACTGGTTATATAGGTTCAGTGTGGGGCTAGTAGGGTATACTTCCAGGGATGGAAGAGTAATCTTATGAAGAAAAGTTAATGTCTTATTTGAAGAAGTGTACAAAATTATTTGGGGGATCAATAGGACAAAGGCTTCTGATTTATTTGTGCTATATTCTGAACAAAATAGGATGAGAGGAAACAAATTTAATATTTGAAAAAGATGACTGGACTCTAGTAGAGACGGTTTTATGTTTCTAGCAGTGTGAATGACTTATGGAGGGAGTTTCCATTGGCAGTAGTGGAGGCTGGAACTTTATGTGAGTTTAAGATGGGAGTTGATTATTTCCTTAAAAATAAAGGGTTGGTTTAAATTTTTAGTTTTTCTAGGGTGGGTGTAAAAGGATGGTCTTTAAGGGAAAATGGTCCTTTGTTATCTATGTGTTATACATAAAATATTAATGTAGGCTTACCATGAAAGGATAGTAAAAAGACTTAAGATAATCTTCAATGTGACAGAAAGATATTTGGCTTAAGGTTAATAGATAGATACCTGAATAAAATATCTGAAAACAAGTCAAATATTTAGCCCATTCTTCAAAGCTCAGTTTCTTTAATATTCATTCTAGTAGCTCATCACTGTTGTTGTTTTCTGTTACAGTGTATTCATATGTTTTTTGCAGCAGGGTAGCTAAAGCTACATGTTATTCTAAATTATGTGTAATTAGAATCTTTTAAAATGTTTTAATAGTGTTTTTGCTCTTAAGTTTCAAATTTCTGTGATTAGATCATGTGACTCCTGCATACACATATATTAGCTATTTTGAACAAAGCTAAATACTAAGTGGAAGGTTTTGAGGATTTATGAATAAACAACTCTAAATCCTTATCTTTCAAATATGATATCTTACCTCCTCTCACAAAAAGCTTTCTTGACTTGTAATGCTATCTATCGGCACAGATGTTTGCTCGACACTGTCCTTGCTACTCCCACTTATTACTGCATATTAACATGCAAATAATCATGCAGCAACCCTCCACCAATAGGAGTGTGACACTACCCCTATTGTAACTAGTACCCTCTCTAATCATGCACACATTAATCACTTCTCGATTGGCAGTCATACTGATTAGATGTGTTTTTTGCTCGCGGTTTAATTAACTTCTCCACAGATTTTTACTTTTCTGAATTTATACTTCAGTTCATTTGTTATTTTACATTCTCTTTCTTGGAGAGTCACAATTTATTTTATTTTATCTTCTTTCCTCTTTCAATTTCGGGAGTTATGTACTTACAGTTTTGGGTGGTCATGAGTAGGACTGCTTTTATTGTGGCAGCAGAATTACCAACCACATCCAAGAGGTTGAATCCATAATTTTCAACCCATGCAGTGACAGCTGTGGTCCATCTGGAGTTGACCAATTTCATACAACAATCAGAACACGCTGATGATTGTCCTAACAAAGTTTTCAGTGATCTTTTTGTTTTGGATTTTGACAGTCTCTCCCCACCCCCTCCTGAATATGCCCCTTAGTCACATGTCATCTTGTGGGATATGCCCAAACTTTTTCTCCTTTGGTGGATTTGTTCTTCAGGTATGTCATGTTCTGTACTTACCTCCCATTTTCTATGTCCCACCACCTCCTTTTCACGGTCTGGGCTCTCAGAGGGTCAAGGGTGTTAGTCATGTACTGCTCCCTTCTGTGATTCCCGAGTGAATTTGTTTCTTCTGTGAATTCCTCACCTCTCCCATGACCTTTTCCCATCACTCTTCTGGGTTGAATTCACTAGTTCATTTGCCTGGTGTTTTCTTCTCTTTCTAGTTACACAGAACTGTTTTGCTATACAAAACAATATGTACACTAAACTTATTTCAGAAATTAAGTAGCAAATATTGTAAAATTCAAGATTCTTATTGCTTCTAAGGAAGCCACTAAAAAGTAGATGCAAAAAAATTCTAGTTGCTAAATCAAGCACAAAAGTAAGTATTTGTTATAAGTTCCATCTCTTTGATACAAGTTAGTAAGTATTATAATTTTAGACTACCATGCAGTGCAAAAACCATTTAAAAGTTAAAGGTGAAATTGTAGCTGACACATCTTTATAAAAATGAAGCTGTTATTTTGGGAGGCAGAAAGTAAAATTAGAGATTGAAATTGTAACGAAACTATTTTCTGTTGGACAATTGAGGGCTTACCATAATAATTATATGGTTTAAAACACAAGTTACAGTATGATATTTGACCAATGTATTTTTTTTTATAGACTTGTCAGCTACAATATCTGTAAAGTCATTAAAATATTCAAAATCCTAATATTGTACATAATTTATAAACAATATTTAATATTTTTAATAAGTAATTAAATATATTAAGTATTGTAATTTTATCTTTTGTTTGGTATGTAGACTGTTTGAAATAAGTAACAGAATAACATACTGATGTTGATCTAGAAAAAATAATTTTAAGATTGGCTGTTAAATGACTTCCTTTTCTGCTTTTGGATTAAAAAAAAAAATTGAGCATGCTGAGCTT